CATCAGCCAGACGGTCCAACAGCCGCCAGAGGCTACAACAACCATTGGTGTCATGGCCAACGTCCTCATGGAACTAGCAATACTTGCTTTTGTCTCTGTTCTTGACAGAACTTTTCATTGCAGCCGGTTTTTCGATTGTCAACCGGTTCTTTATCTCCATGAGGATGGAGGAGCAGTCTTTTTTGAACTCGTACTTGGGGACGTACGGTTCAAACTTCCTCTGCTTCTTCTGGGACGGCTGACCTGGGCGGTCTGCTGCCCAGACTTCTTTTCTTTTCTTATCTTCTTTTTTGGCCGGCTGGGTAAGCCGGTTGTCTCTCCTGTCAGACCGCTTGGGTTCCGACGGGTGCTTGATGGCGTAGAGTTCAGTTGCCTGTATATAGGCCTTCGCCTCCATCAGCGCCTCCTGGAGGGTAGCTACCCTCTTCCGGACAAGGTCAAATTTGAAAGTTGACCCATCTTTCAGACCCTTGAAGAAGTCTGTATATGCAACTTCATCAGACAACCCCTGAATCTGAATTCTCATTAGGTTGAACTGTCTGACATAGGACCGAAGCCCCTCCTTGTCACCCTGCTGGATTGCCCCTAGGTCAAGACTAGTCTTTTTAGCAGGGATATTCATGGAAAAGTTGGACGCAAACAGATATGCAAGCGTCTTGAAGTTGTTGATGCACCCAGCCGGCAAGTTGCCGAACCATCGCTGGGCTATGCCCTTCAAGGTAGCCGGGAAGCATCTGCACCAGGCAGCGTCATCCAACCCCTGTAGGTACATGAGGTTGGTGTATGCCATTAGGTGATCTTCCGGGTTGGTGGTACCGTCGTAGGCACCAACCTACACATTTTTAACCTTGGCCGGCTGTGCCGCCTCGGTTATTTCCCGGGAGAAAGCCGAAGGCTGTTCCCCAAGGTTTAGCAGTCGTAGCTTCCAGTCCATAGGCTGGACCTGGTAGGCCGCCTGACCCCCAAAGGTAGCCGACTGCATGAATGGAGATCCATACGGGGCGTATGGCTGTTGGGGCACATACGAAGCCTGCTGGATAACATGAGGACCAGTACGTGCAGTCATGCTGCGTGACTGACTCCCCTGCTGCGTCTCCGAATGATTCATTGAAGCATTTCGGAAACTGTCTGAGTAGGTCGACGTTGAGGCCGACTGAGACATACTCTGACTTCTCTTCTCCTAGATGAACAACCGGGCGTCAGAGAAAGTCTTCTTTGACCCATCCGGCTGTGTATGCCGGATGGCCTTTCGTTGCCCTGATTCAGGGAAACGAAGTTTTGAGAGGTCAATCAGGGGCCCATCCGTCCCCTTGGGTTTGGGGTGCAAAGTAGGCACCCGGTCTTTGATTTTCTTCTTCCCGGAGGGAGAAGGCTTCTTTGCCGACTGACCCTTGCTGGAGCCAACTGACTTCTTGATTATGTCTTTGATTTCCCCCTTGAAACTAGTCATGAGATTCATGAGTTCGTCTCTGGTGACGGGGGCAGCACCTTCCGCCGCCTGGGTTGTTGGGACAAGCTTTGTCTTGGCCCCGTTCCTTCTTTTCTTTGGAACGGGTGCGCCTAGAGCGGAATGACCCGTCTGGGGCCATGTAGGTTTCGACATTGTAGTCGTCATCACTGCCACTTTCATGGTCCGTATGGACCTCAGGGTCAGCCGTAGGCCAGCTGTCCTATGCATTCGGTATAGCATCAGATGCCATCTCAGTAGTACTCTCCCCACAGACGGCGCCAAATGTTTCGGGTATTTTGGTCCCTCGAGAGAGTTACAATACGGAGTATGTGCACCTGACTTCTGTACCTGCAAAACCACGAAACTCCGGTTGGGTGGAGTTCCGCCTCCGAAGATTAAGTTAGTATGACTCCGGATGAGAAAACGTGCGGAAAGTAAGATGAATATTTCTCTCTGATTCAGGGAGATTCCGCAATTAATATTGCTCGGGATTTGTGTATGTATTTATGAATCCAATAAATGAGGATGATTCCTCTATTTATAGCAGATGAGAATCTGCTCCCCCATTGGGGGTTCAATGTCACGTGGCATCCTCTGATTGGGTCCCCTTGGGCTTTTATGAGGGTGACACGTTTCAGGCCCTCATTGGGCCACGTGGCAGGGGTTATATTTACCCCAATCACCATTGATACAGTTAACAGGCATACAATGTTTAAAACCATCGATACAAGGACCAAATGCCCAAAACACTCGTTCAAACACTTCCATGTTGCTGGTATACCTACCCTCCACTAGAGCTTTGTGTTTCCATACGACTGCGGTTCCCGGGTTTGACTGTTCCAGTGCTTGCATGAACTGAGGAAGTGTACTGTAAGAACTCTCCCAATCCCCAAAAATTTGAGTGATGGCTTTGTCCTTGGCATACCATGCTCTTCGATATGGAACTTCAAAATAGAATTGCTTGGAGATGAGTTCCTGTATGAATTCAACTTTTAGGGTCGGATCTTTCTGCACAAAGAACTTCACATACTCAGATATTATATTCGAATCCAAGTGTGGGTGATCAGTAGATAGTACTTCCGTAACACAGTTCTCCCGGTGCGACCCTTTGTATGTGACTAGGGTGAAGCCATGCAAGTGCTCACTTGTCCTCGTACCCCGTAAAGACCAACCACATTTCTTCTTGCAACGCAGATGAAGGACACTCTCATTTGAGGTGACTGTGGTGTAGAATTGATTTCTTTGTATAGAATACATCTTCACCATTTCTTGAAGCACTTTCTTACTCTCAAAGTACATGCCCTTCTCAAATTCTCCCCCAGGAACAAATGATGTATGGCTACCCGAATCGGCCCAATACTCATCAACTTCATAATTCTCGTTTATTTGACTAAACCATGGTACTGGAGTTCTAACCATGGGCTCATCAATTTCCATCTGGCCATGTTCAGCATCCATGAGCTCAAGTCCATCATCCTCCTCCCCGTTGTCGTCCTCATCATTTGTATCCGCACACATCGTAGACCGACAGTTCGTTGTTCACAATATTATCAAAATGAGTTGGCTCTTCTCGAGAAGGTGATTGTTGCACCTCATCTTGCATCGGTGAAAGAGCCACGGTGTTTGATGTCGAAGGACCGGATTGGCTGAACATTGTCCCACATCCCCCCCGCATGTACAGGTGATGCTATATGAGAACTAAACGACATGTGAAATTGATCGTCATGCAGCATTCGACTAAAAGTTCCCATCCCATATTCATTCGATGGAATGTGGTTTGAGGGCACTTGGAAGGACGCGGTGTTGTAATCAGAGACATATGTAGCATGTTGTTCTGCCCGAGTACTTTGTTGGGTACATAAAGGCACCGTTTCTACATATATCTCATTGGGAACACCCTTCATTGCAACAATGCTCCTCAAAGCTTTTAAATGTTTGTTTGTAGAGGCAGGTAACACTTGAACCCCATGACCAGTCTCAAACCTCATTTTAATGTTCAGTTCAACATACATTGGGTTTGAACCAATACTGTTATGAACCTCATTCATCAAATCAATGACTGTCATGTTAGGTTCAAGTGTTATAGGTTCCATATTTCCTCCAATGTACTCAACACTAGGTCCATCCGACAAAATTTCACCTCCCCACCGGCATAACAACACTACATTTTGTGTAGCCATATTCTACATAACAACCAAATCACATTTAAGGATAATCGAACTCTAAAACAACGTAAAAAAAAACCTAATTGAACCATACATAACATACATAGCAATGAAAAAAGGTCATTCTCACTATCAACAATTTCATCACCAATTTCATTAACATACATAGCAATGCAAAATGATTACTATAACCAATTTCATCATAAAATTTCACATTCAAGTACCGCATTACCATCAACAATTTCATCATTATTGTCACAAAAATAAACCACATTACCATCGACATTTTCATCTACATTTTCATCTACATTTTCATCAACAATCTATAATTTACAATTTACAACATTTTCATCTACATTTTCATCAACAATCTACAATCTACCACATTACCATCAATAATTTTCAACAATTTACAACATTTTCATTACTAATTACCAACAAATTAATACAATTTACATGACAAATTGCTACAATATACAACATTTTACAACATTTTCATCTACATTTTCATCTACATTTTCATCAACAATCTACAATCTACCACATTACCATCAATAATTTTCAACAATTTACAACATTTTCATTACTAATTACCAACAAATTAATACAATTTACATGACAAATTGCTACAATATACAACATTATCAAAGCAAATTTCAACATTATACTATCAATTTAGGGTTTACCTGAATTGAGTGAGCGAGAGAGAGTAAGTGTGACAGTTGGGCAATGGCGGCAGCAGAGGCGGTGGCAGCGGCGGTGGGAGGAGTTGCGGAGGAGTGTTAGAGTGAGAACGAGAGTAAGAGTGAGAATATGAGAATGAAAAAAAAACCAGAAACTGGTCTATATTCCCCGCAAGAATAAACGCAGCCTGAGGCAGCGTTTTATCTTAAACAATAAACGCAGCCTCAGACAGCGTTTCATTAAAAGGTATAAACGCAGCCTGAGGCAGCGTTTTACTGTATTTGAGTTTATTTTTTTTATTTTTTTTTTTATTTTTATTTATTTATTTTTTTAAAGTAGGAAATACGAACTTTTTTATAAAAGTCAACTGACATAAAACGCTGTCTCATACAGCGTTTTATGTCTTGGATTTTTTTTTTAAAAAACTCTGGGTATAAAACGCTTTCCGAGACAGCGTTTTACCCCAGAAGTTTAGTTTGAGAAATACTTTTGCCACGAGTCTTCTTTGCAAAATAATTTGCCAAATTGGCTTAATTTGGTAAAAAAATCCCTTTCCAACTAAACACTTGGTAACGGTAATGGTTTTAGCTCAGTAAAAATATTTTCTATTTAACAAAATAACTTCAATTCAATAAAATAATTTTAAATTAGTAAAAATAATTTTAGTTTCTTTAAAAAAAAAAGTTTAATAAAAATAATTTAAATTTATTAAAAATAATATAGTTCATCAAAAATTCAAAATTAAGGTCTAATACAATTGCTTAAAGTGAATTAAAATGATACTGTAGCTTTTCACTTGTATCACTCCCTGTTCGACTGTCCCTTTTCTACACTCAGTTTTTTTTGCGACTACTCTGAATTTTCCATTGAAGCGGATTGTAAGCTTTCTCTGCTCCATTGAACCGTAGCATTGGTAAGTTGTTTTTCTTAATCATCGAATATCAGTTTTTCACTATCTGCTGTTAATTGTTAACTTAAGTCATTGATTATTGAACTATTTCTCATAAATTAATACTGAAATGCAAGAATTTAGGTGTTCATATTGTTAAACAAGAAGAATTTAATTTGATAATTTAATCAAATTTGGTTGCTAAATGTGTTGCAAAACCCTTAATGTTAGGACTGAACTATGAAATTGGAAAATTTATGCCTTGGCTCAGGGACGAGATGATTTAATGTCTGTTTAGATTGAGGTTTTCCACATTTGTTTTTGATTTTTTTACGCAAATTTGAAATATGGATGAAATTATGGTGATTTTTACTTAATTACTGTATACATGGGATATGATGATTAATTATAGTTGAATTATCAGTTCAGAAAATCAATTACAATATAAATTACGTAGATTAACCTACAAACAAAAATAAATTTAAGCCATCAAATGTTATTTTGCATCAATTTCAGAAGCTTCAAATGAATTTATTGAATTAGCTAAAGAACTCTAATTTTTATGTGTGGGTGGCCACACTGCCATGGGGTTACTTGGTTAGTGTTATTGAGATTACCCTGTTAGGGTAATAGGGGTTAGTTAGTAATAGTATATGGGTTACACTATTAGTGTTGTAGGAGTTACTTTGTTATTTTAGGGTTACTCAATAAGTGTAATAGGAAGTTACTCACTCAGTATTAATAGGGGTTAGTCTATCAGTGTAAAAGGGTTTGCTCCATTTATTTACAAGTAGACACATAGTGTAATCAGCCGTACTGCAAAGTTTTACCACCAAATTGGTGAAGAAGTTGACTAGAATATCCTAGTACATAAGTAGAAGAACAAAAATTAGGTTTTTTGGTTTACATGTGCCAAATTCGATGAAATATTTGGCATAAATTTTCCCTGTCATAATTCTAATACCTTAATGTTGATGGAGGTTTTTTTCCATCAATTATAGAAAAGGATCTTGTCAATACCAATATGGTAATCTGTCCAAAAATAGTGTGACATGTTTTATATTGTTGCTAGCTTCAATGCTATAGGAATTAAATACTAAAAATCAGTTTTAGAAATACTTGTCAGATTATTGATAGATTTATCTTTGCAACCGATGATTCAATTTATCTTTCTCTAGCTCCCTGAGAAGAAGAATTGACCCTTCTTCATTGTTTTGGTCTTTTCAGGTGAGTTTTATATTTGAAACTTGAAATTCTGTTGCAAATTCAGTTTTTGCAAAGAAATGAAATTGACAGTGAAGCGAATCTGCATCCGTGCTCATCTCATAAACCCACAGCCCATTTCAGAATTCCTGGAAAAAGGTTAGGTCCTCTCTGTGTTCAGTTCTGGTTTTGTGTTTTTATAAATTTATAGGTCATTTTTTCAATGTATTTTTAGGACAAGGTTTAGCTTCTGCCTACATAAAGCATTAAATCTTGCGAAAATGGCTAACAGCTGCATCATTATTTTCTCTTTGTCTCTCTCAAAAGCAGCTAGATTCATAAGTTATGTGCCAACCCAAAAACAAGAACAGAGGGTTGAAGAAGTAAACTTGGACAGTGAAAGCATATTGAACAAGACATACTGGACAAGAAAAATTCATAAGCTATGTGCTATTGATGGAAATGTTGATGAGGCACTTTGTCTCTTGGACAGCATCCGTGTCCGAGGCTACTGTCCTGATTCTCTAAATCTCAGCAGTATAATCCATGCCCTTTGTTGGTCTAAGCGTTATGCCGAGGCTCACCAGCGCTTCCTCTTCTTCATTGCCTCTCAATGTATTCCGGATGTGCGTACTTGCAATGTCCTCATTGCTAAATTACTTGATTCTCGAACCCCACACATTACATTTGATTTGGTCCGCAGTTTGATCAAAGAAAACCCTGAGTTTGTTCCATCTTTGAACAATTATAACCGTTTGATTGATCAGTTTTGCAAGTCATCCGAGCCTCATGTAGCTCATAGAGTGTTGTTTGACATGGTTCACAGGGGGCATTGTCCAACTGTTGTTTCCTACACTACTTTGATTAACGGATATTGTAAATATGGGGAGATGGGTTCTGCATTTAAGCTCTTTAACGAAATGTTTGAGAACAATGTAGTGCCTAATTCTCTGACTTACAGTGTTTTGCTTGGTGGAGTTTTGGGGAGTGGTGATACACAGCGTGGGAAGGACTTGATTATTAAGCTTTGGGAGCAGATGAAAAATGTTATCAATCCATCTGTTAATTGTGCAGCATTTTCCAACCTTATGGATAGCTTGTGTAGGGTAGGATTATTTCATGAAATTTTCCAAATTGCTGAAGATATGCCGCAAGGTAGAAGTGTTCCTGAGGAATTTGTTTATGCTCAGATGGTAGATTCTCTTTGCAGAGTTGGTAGGCATCATGGAGCTTCAAGGATAGCATATATAATGAGAAAAAGAGGGTTTACACCAAGCAAGACAGCATATAATTCTATAATCCACGGATTAAGCAAGGAGGGGGGATGTATGAGGGCTTTTCAGCTGTTTCAAGAAGGAATTGTATTTGGCTATGTGCCATCTGAATATACATACAAGATCTTGGTAGAAAGTCTTTGTCTAGAGGGTGATGTACCCAAGGCAAAGGAAGTTCTGCAATCCGTTCTCAAGCTGAGAAATGTGGACCAAACTAGAATCTATAATATATACATTAGAGCTCTATGTCTTATCAACAATGCAACAGAGCTCCTAAATACACTTGTTTCTATGCTGCAGGCACAATGTAAGCCCGATGTGATCACCCTTAATACTGTTACTAATGGTTTATGTAAAATGGGAAGGATCCAAGATGCAATGGAAATATTTTATGACATGATGCTGGGTAAATTTTGTGCACCTGATGCCATAACTTTCACTGTTGTTATTGGTGGATTATTGAATGCTGGAAAAGTCAAAGAAGCTCTTGTTCTGTTGCATGAGAAAATGCCAGAAAGACAACTCAGGCCCAGTGTCGTGACCTATAACGCTGTTCTTCGAGGATTATTTAATCTCAAGAAGGCTAATGAAGCTATGGAGATGTATAGAGCCATGGTAGCCCAAGGTTTAAATGCTGATAGCACCACTTATAGTATAGTTATTGACGGGCTTTGTGAGGCTGGTCGCTTAGATGACGCCAAAAGATTTTGGGATGAAGTAATATGGCCTTCCCAGATTCATGACAATTTTGTTTATGCTTCCATATTGAAAGGGCTTTGCCAGTGGGGTAGGTTGGATGAGGCTTGCGACTTCTTATATGAACTGGTAGATTGTGGTGTATCGCCTAATATTTACAATTATAACATTTTAATTGACTGCGCTTGTAAGTTGGGCTTGAAGAAGCAAGCTTACCAGATCGTTGGAGAGATGAGGAAGAATGGGTTATCTCCAGATGCCGTCACTTGGAGGATACTTGACAAGCTACATAGGAACTTCCATATAGAAGAAAAAGAAGGCAAACATCAACATCCGGACGTAGAACCTTTAGAGGGCAGGGTTTCAGAATTCAACAATGTTGGCAGCAACATGGAAATGTAAGAACAAGTACTTGTATATTTTTATATTTTCTAATTATCTAATCAAAAGGGGGTTTGTGAATCTATTGGAAATTTTTAAGGTTTTAATCTGATGATTGGCTTGCATTTTGATATTTTCCTACTGAGACATGGGTTTTCTTTGGTCAGGGCTGTCTTCCATCCTCACTTTCATATTAGAGAAATGGAAATCGAAAGCATCTAGCTTAGAGAAATGTTGTCTTTGACCACTTTTTAAAAGGAGCTTAAAGAAATGCTGTCTTTGACCAAATCTTAAAGGGTTTTACACCAGTGATAGAATAAAAAAAAAAAAAAATCAAAGAGTGCTTTGGTGTTAGTCCTGTCTGAGAGATCATATCTTTGGATAGTAGAGGTAACTATTATTTTGCAGAAGACAACTGTGATGCCTTGGTTAAGTCACTTGCCATAATCAACAAATCAATATAATAGCTGGCATAGCGAGTCCTATAGGTTTGGTCAGGATAGTTGTAACAGGTTGAGGTTGTCACTCAAGAGAAGTTTATAATTCCTGATTCTACATCTATTTCGGAGGCCTTTTCTTTTCGGGATCAAAATTAGTTTCAAGAATTCGAAAATAGGATGCTTCGTATGCCTTTCTATTTGTAAGATGTATGTGAATCTTTGAAATGTCATTTGTGACATCTTTGCATAGGTTGCGATTGGATTTCATCTTTATGCATGACTTAAATTTTGTTTGTCTTTGTTTTCAAAAATGTGGTGTAGTTTTATGCTTGTAATGTTTTGTCATTGTGTTCTTAGCTTGAAAGGAAATGTGTTAAACAGACAAGGATTAGAAGTTGTTTGCCAACTTGAGTGAGATTGAATATTTCATTCTGAAGGACTTGAGATTTTTTGTTTTCAATTTCGTGGTGATTGATTGATGTGCAGATTACATTTTATGGTTTCTATCTTGATTTAAATTGTTCTTATTTGTGCCTTTTGGGAACTATTCAGGTTAGGTTCCATCCAACAATTGCAGGCTTGTTTGCTAGTGGGAGTCTAGATCATGAAGTTCGGCTTTGGGTGCAATTACAGCAGAATTTATTGGGTCATGGGATATTTGTAATTGCTTCTATCTCTGATTGTTTATTTCAATGTTTGTAGTTCATTCTTTTTCTTTTATTATGTTAATACTTCGTATCCTGTATAAAATATAAATAAATTAACGTATTTTGCCCGTTCTCTCTTTTTCTTTAAGTCCTAATCTGAATGCTTCATTTTTTACAGACTGACCAATTGCTCGTATTGCTTTCCATGTCCAGGGGAAACTGCTTGCAATTGCAGTTGCTCAATCAAGTGATGGCGTGATGCTGAAGTGTAAATTCTGTTTTGGCTAGCTATACATATGGCTAATGCCACTATAATGAATGAGGAGAATTGTCTATCCCTACTGTTGTCCTGAAGACACGGCGTTCATTACATGCTTTTCACCTCCATCTACATGCTTCACCTTTTTTATTGACAGCTGAGGTAAGCTGGTTTCATTGAAGTAGAAATTAATTATCTTTCAAAAAAAAAAAAAAAAAAAAAGAAATTAATTAATTCGTTAGGTTTTCTCACAACTTTCTCGGCATGCAGGTCAATGGCCTTGATTCTTCAGATTCATCAATGACACTTGCAACTTCTCAGGGTATGTATGATATCCACCTTCTACTGTATATGTTGCTAATGTTCATGCTTCTGATTGGTCTAGCTCAGCTTCCTCTCATGTCCCTTCCCATCCTGATCTGGCCTCCGCTCTCTGGAAATAATGGAAGAATATCTTTTCAGCACTCAGATGGAAATGCAGGTTCAAGTAGTTTGAAGCAGAGGTTTGGTCCTTCGTCGGTGAGGTTGCTAAGCTCTTGTTGTCTCCCATTGAATCTAGTAACATTTCTTCGGTTCCGAATGAAATACGGCCTGTGTCAGCTGAGGTGGAAAGCCATTGCTCCCGAGTTTTCTGTTGATGTTATGAAATCATCTGATGTACAGCCTGAAGAAAGAAATACTCGGTTTTTCCCTGTTGGAGACCCTGCATATTAGGATCTACCTTTCTTGCAAGTATGGTTAGTTGGTCATAACCAAACTGGACAACGCATGATATGTCCTGTAAATTCTAGGTCGCAACTCGCAAGAACCTCCTTCTGCGCAAAGTGGGATGTTAATTCAGGATCCGGTGGCTTCGTCAGCCATGCAAAAAAGTACATCTTATACACGGGGTACCAGTTGGTTCAATTCTTGGCATCATTCATCACGTCCTCGAGCAGCAGCTAGTACTGCTGCAGCGGAAGCAACTGTTATTCTACAGGATGAAGGTGACCCTCATCCTGTCATTAGTAGAGTTCAATCTGAGCTTGCCACATCACTAGCAGCTGCCGCATCAGCAGAGTTTCCGTTCACTGTGAAACTTAGAATATGGCCATATGACATAAAAGATCTCTGTGCTCATGTTGATCCAGAGAAATGTCATTTGATTATTTCTCTTGCTGGCCTTTGCAGGTGAGCTAATATATAGCTATATGCATTTTCTACCTGCTAAACAATTGTTTGTTATGTGAGATGGCCTTTTGCTTTCCTGCTGCTTGGGCTTTATTGGTGAAGTTTTCGTAAATTGGGATTAAGCAAGAGTTAACTGTTTTTTAATTTATGTATATTCAGTATATTGATTTTTTGCATTTAGTGACTGTTGCGCTAACTGTTTTTTCAGTGAAATGGGTGCTAATTTTTTTCCACGTGGCAAATTTTTGGCTGCTTGTGTTTCATGTATGTTGCTGCAGGCAAGTGTTACCTGGAATTAAGAAGCAGGCTCACCATGATGCGTTAGGAGCTGCAACTTCACCAACAAGGCATCCAATCTCAGCTCAACTAGTTATGTATGAACTATGGATATTCCTTTGAGGCAACATATGTGGTCTAATTATTGTTCTTTGTCCATTTTGTTTCTGGTTAAATCACATATTTATTTGGTTTCTATTGCAATGATTTAGGTTTGGGGTAGTACTTGCATCACGGGCATTAAGGGTTGCCCACTGTTTGATGTCAATTCAGGTCTGTTTTTGATGTGCTTTTCTTTGGCATATCTGCCTTTTAGTAATTATGATTCTTCTTCATGGAACATGATGTGATGTTACTGTAGCTAGTATAATACTTCCTTCATTCTTTTTTAGTTGAAATGTTTTGACAATGCTCACAAACTCTACTTTGACTAGCTTTTGTAATCTATATTCACGATAAAACATAGTCATTTAGGATTTTGTTAAAACCATCTCAATCACTCGATGTATATTTTTAGGGTATCAATTTATTTTTTTTTATATATTTATTCATTTATATTTTTTCTGCTATGATCCTTCTTTTGCTCACTTTACTCACCCTTTTTTCAAACTCTTTCAAATGATTAGCTTGTTATGTCCCTTTCTTAATATCGTACTCCGTATGGTTCCTTATGACGATTCATTTTAGCCAACCCCAAATCATTTTGGGACTAATGCTTTGTTGTTGTTGTTGTATTCATTTATAATTGGAGACATTAATTTTTAAACATGTGCATTGGAAAACGTGATAAAAGAAATGTGTTAACTAAAAAGAATAGAAGAAGTAACCTAAGAAAGGCTCACTATCTTGCGGTTTAGATTGTTTCGGCTCACTAAGAGAGAATGAATTCATTGCTAAGAATTTTCTGCTGTACTAACTCGAAGAGGCGTATTGGAAGCTAATTAGCAACCTGTCCTAATATTAGAGATCAAACTGGTCAACCTGTTTTAGGGGCATCAAACCTTAAAAGTAGGGAATTAGTGAAGCATAAATTCTTGTAGATAATAAAGTTTATTATTTGTTAAGAATTTTGCTTGAGAGATGTTCTGGTTATTATTTAAGGATATAATAGATCTAGAATTTGAAGTCAAATCCTTGATCTTTGATTTCTATCTGTTTTGAGAACTTGTTGAGTAATTATTTATTAAGTAGTGGTTTCCCTCTGTCTATAATTTCTACTTCGTGGCACTATTGAATTGCTGGTGATCTAGCTATGCTTCCTGGACTTGGCAATTTTTTTCTTGGAACACTACACTATGTGTAGGAGATCCAAGTCGGATTGGGTCGGTATCACTCGGACATGGCTACTTCAGATTTTAGGTCATGGAAACCCTATATTTACAAATAGAAGAATCAATTTTATGAGAAACAAGAGTTAGAGAATTTTGGCTTTTGGTCACCCAAGGGAAATTCCATGGTGGTATTCTCAGCACTTGCCTGCCAGTGATCAAAGAGAGTGTGGAAATGGGCGGGAAAACAGAGGAACCTGGAAAAAAATTCAGATATGCAAAGAGATATGGAGAATGTGGGGGTAGAGAAGTCATAACCTACAATGGAGGTTGTCCACTTTGAGATGTTGAATGCCCTTTCTTTTTCCTTTTAAGTTCGAATTCCAGTATTTTTTTTTTTGTTTGTTTTGTGGGGAGGGGGGGGGGGGGGGTGGAGAAGCTGCCGAGCATATTTTGCGGCTGTCACACATATACATACAGGTCTAGTTGCATGATTGATAGGGATGAAATAGCTCCTCCGTTCTCTTTTACTCTTATCGTTTTGACTTTTTTGTTGCCTGTCTAATGCAATCCCACTCATTTTATCTGCATAGGACTAGTGTTTGGGCATGGAAAGATTTCATTCTCAGTGAAGCTCACCTATGGCTTTAATTCCCTCCTGTCTGGCCTCGCCAGTTGCCAACCAAAAAAAAAAAAAAAAACCACCTTGTTGATTTAAATTTTCTCCTACCTCGTTTAGAACAAACTTGAGAAAAAAAAAAAGAAAAAGATACTTTGTGTGTTTGAAGTATGGATTGGCCTTTTTTGCTATTTGTTGCCTGTCTAATGCAACCCCACTCATTTGATTTGCTTGGGACTAGTTGTGTGTGGGGATGGAAAAGACTTCCTCAATCACTTTATTTGTGAAGCTCACTAGTTCCCTCCTTTCTGGTCCACCCAAAGAAATTGATAGAAGAAAGCAGTACCAGTGTCAATTGTTAAACAATGTTACATTTTGTTTTTATCCCCCTCTTACATTTAACCCCGTAAGATATTGAAGGAAGCAAGATTTGATGTACATGATTATTAATTGGTCTGGATTTATATGATGGTAAGATCTTGTGATTTGATTTGTACTGGGACTATTGAGGCATCCAAGCACTATCATCAGATTACAAGAGCAACAGGCACAAGGTTTCTTTATATTGAATTTTGTTGTTTCTGTGTACCCTCGTTCTAGTTATACTTTTCTGTTGGATAATATGATAAGGTTTCCTAGCTGACATATCTTCTGGTATCTCCTCGTTCAATTTTAGTTTAACAATTTTTTATTTTTTTTAATTCTTCTGGTATAGGCATGGCTGAAAATCTGGGCAGAATAAATTTGGTTGTCGATAATCTTAATAGCAATTTAGCCTAGCTAGTGGTGTTCATCAACAATCTCCCGTTTCCTATCTACACTTTTGACGATTGTTTTATTGCTGGAAGGCTTTGAAGGTGTCTGTTCGAAATCAGAATGATTGTAACAGACCATGTGACAGAAAGGAGACTAGTAAGGAGCTATACTTTGATTTTACAGATCAGCTGATGGGCAATCTTATTCATATCTGAACAGCTGCGCCTCAGCGCCTGTAATCTTATTCTGATCTGAACAGCTGCGCCTGTAATCTTATTCTGATCAGAGCAGCAGCTTTTCAGTTATGAAGGGGAAAATGAAACGAATTCGTCGATTTTTGTTTTAAGATTCAGAGCAAGACAGATTTTGGTCAAAGGTTGAAAAAGAAAGAGAAGCTTTGTTTTATTTTGATAAAATTGTATATTAAGTACAAAACTCAATCATTATTCTGTTTTGTATCTTGTAACATTTATGATTTGCTGGTTATATAAACTAATGGTGTTATTCGGATTATATCTTTGTATAGTCGAATACTATTACAAATAATTTACTGTTGAATATAACGCATATTTGCTCAGCATATTTGTAGTTCTTCACTATAGAGAATCTAGCAAATTTCATGAAACTATTTTGAATAGGATCCAATTTCCAATCCTCCTGTCAATCTGTAAAAACTGTTACAACTAAAATTATAATACTAACCCTACAAACTCAACAATCTATAAATGTGGTAAAACCTAATTAGTAATAACAACAAACGTCAAAAAAATAAAAAAATAAAAAAATTAACAACAAAGTAAAACCAATAGAATAAAAGATATTGACAGCAACTTAGCGTAACACAAACGTCAGCAATCAAAACAACAAACGCTGCAACAGAGCAATTAACTAAAAGCAATATACTATTAATCTGAAAATGTCGATTACAAATTTGCTAAACCTAATTAGCAGTAATTACATCAATTAAATTGAAACAGTCACTAGTGCCTAAATTTCACGGCATCATCATCTATAGTTAGCTAGCTTGAATAATCGAAACGACAAAGCGGGCATGACCGTTTCCTCTGGAACCACCTTCGTAAGCAAATCTCGTGAAAGCCATGGTTGCAACTCAAAACACAATTAATGTTTTCCGTAACGTCATCTAGGCAGATCGAACATATCTCATCGCATTCGTCAGCAGTTATCCTCTTAAAATTTGGCAGAACATCGGGAACTTCATGATTGATCCCGTCAACAGGAACTGCTACATCTTCATTATTGATCCCTTCAACAACTGCCATATTTTCATGATTAATCCCGGCACCAAGGACTGCCATATCTTCATGATTGTTCCCGCCAAAAAGGTCTGCCATATCTTCATGATTGATCTCGGCAACAACACTTTCCATGGTCGCGAGCATCGATGCTAATGATGCTCGTTCATCTCTGATGTAGTCGTCTAATGTCGCGAAATCACTCAAATTTGTGAGGTTGACATCAACAAGGTATGAAGTAGTACGAAAGAAGTCAACTTGGGAAATCGACATTTTTGAATAGGGTGTATGAAAGTGTTGATTCAACTATCTCAATTTGTTTTTCTGACGAGAAGTGCGTAAAATTGAAGTGGAAAGTATGATTATTTTTGACGAGAAGAGCGTAAAATCAAATTGAGATGTATGAAAGTATGATTACTGATCAAGCATATTTATAGAAATTCGACCGTTGGTGTGTTATACGCGGTCAAATTGCAAAGACCCGTTATTTTTTTCCCATTTCGTTCTTCACATACGCGGCAAATCTTTTGATTTTGGAGGTAAATCTTTGGGTTTTGGAGGTAAATCTTTTTGAGATATCTAAAAGATATGTTTTTATTCTTGTGGAGGAAAAGATTGTTAACCAAATTAAATGGCATTTAATCTTGTTACCCATTTACGTGTACACTTCGTATTATTAAATAAATAATTATTGTCTTTCTTCAAAAGAAAAATTTTATTCTTAAATTTTGTATATTTTTTTTATCTCATAATTATGTATTTTAGACATGAGATATCTATTGCTATTTGCTAATATTATATTAAGACCAGTAAAACTCATTATAATTTACGAATAGACAAACTTTTAAATAGATTGAATAACCAAAAATTAGAGCACATAAGTTATAAAGTAATCCTAAAGTGATCAAAAGTTATTTCAATATTTTAAAAGCTACCTATATTTAATTGATATAATTCCCCAGGAATAGGAGTAAAAAACATTAGTGTGCAGAGGTAATAATGTTACCCTAAGTCCCTAATAAAATAGGAGAATGAGAAATCGAGTGAGAAAGAATGAAAAGGAGGGAAAAGGGTGGGAAAGTAGTTAGAGGGTCTTACATGATGTCACATTTGAGTTGAGGGCCAAGTAGGTGGGAAGTTTTAATGTTTTAAAAAATAGTAGGTGGTAAATTTTTTTTTTTTTTAAAAAAAAAAAAAGAACTGTAGGTGATAATTGCTAAAATAGCAACAATTGTAGGTGATAATTGCCAAAAAAAACCTAATAATAAAGGCAACATTGATAATAACAATGTTGCAAGTCTTACTCCAAAATCTTCTAATCTGATATGTCATCTAGGATTAAGAAGTCTTTTGGTGATAATTGGAAAAGTCAAGTTAAGAAAGGCCCTTTTGGGCAAACATGGAAGCAAAAGAAAACTCAATATTCTTTTGGGGATATGCAAGCTGATTCAAAATTTTTAAATCAAGCCTCCACTTCAAAATCCAAGAATAGCAATGATAGTCTGAATTTAAGTGTTGCTCAAGAAAACAAGCTTTTGCCTTCTACTACTATCTCAAACCATGCAAAAGATCTTTTATGCAACGTGGAGGACATGATTCTTGATATTCCTCTTAGAGCATGCACAATGTAAGGAAAAAAAATTTCCCCATCAGTCTCTCTCTATCTCCATTTTCTTCTCCTTCACATCAGCTTTTTTTGTGAGGGGATTTATTTTATTCCATTATAGAATAAACCAAAAATTTCCTCACCAATTTCTCTCCTACTTTTTTTCAATACCCCATCATATTTCTCTCTCTTATTTTATTTTATAATTTTGATAAATAAAAGTATTTACATATATTACATGAAATTGTCAATAACTAATTAATTTGTTATTATTTTTATTATTACGTAATTAAGGGATAATTATTCAATAATGAGTTAGTTATTTATTCCTAATGACATGATTTAATTTATTACTTTTCATCTCACTTTTACAATTTTTTTAATAATTCGATAATGAATAATTTGCAAATAAAATATATAATGAACACATAGGGAATGAAAATGCAATTACTTTTAATTTGCCACCTTTTATATTGATAAACGTTTAAATCAATTATTTATTTGTGGGCTATGTTTGTGTATTATTAGGCTCTTTTATTATTTCGGTGGGTTTTGAAAAGGAATTATTAATTAATCGATCGCAATATTTTTGTTACGCTTTGTTTGAATAGAAGAAAATGGAAGAAAAAGAAGGGAAGAGAAAGGGAGGGGGATAAACTCTCTTGTTAATAATTAATAATTAATAATCAATAATTACTCCCTCCGTCTTTTTATTAGAGTCTCATTTCTCATTTTTCACGGGAATTAAGGTTTTTGTAGATTCCTTAAACCATGTGATTGGAAGTACCAAAGTATATTAAGCGCATTAAATAACAAGTGAGAGAAAAAGAAAAAAGAGGTTAATAAATGCCAAAAAGAAGATGAAGTACCTAGAAAGAAGAAGAATGAGGAGAGAGAACATATGTTGATGGATTAATAAATACCAAAAATATTTGGCACAAAAAATCAGTAAAAATTGAGGATAATTTGGGGATTATATTAGGAGTGAGGTTAAAGTTGTAAAAAAAACCACTTACTAAAAAGGGAAAGATTTTAACAATGGGACTTTAATTTTGATTTGCCAAAAAAGGAATAGTGGACTCTAATAAAAGGATTAATATCAATTTGGTGCTATTGATCGAGTGCACTCTATCTCACTTAATAATTTGTGATGTATAGAGTGCACCCGATCAAGATTGTGCTATTCTAAGCATCGAACCTATAATTAGCATTATTGAGGCCAATAATGCCTTTATTTTAATGTTATAAAAATTAATGCTATTATAAGGTTAACGTAATAAAAGCGAACGGCCTAAAAGTTGACTTACAAATTTTTCTATTTTTAAAATTTATTTTAATTTCCCATTTAAAATTTTCAATTAATTTTTTATAATTTTTTATTTTACTAAATCCCTAATTATCAATTTTAATTTAATCTTCTATTTAATTTCGTTATTAAGGGACTGGAAAATTAAGTGAAATTAGTATTTTTACTTTTTTTTATTCAATATTTAATTTCTCTAAAAATGATTGGAAAAATAAGTGGGAAAAATATATGGGAGAAATAAATAAATAAATAAATAAACCATGACAACCATTAAATTAGACATTCATGAATAGTTTGCCGGAACTTTTTTTTGGGTCAATCGTCGCTGGAGGGTTTTTTTTTTTTTTACCAAATTACTGCTTGAGTTAACTTTTTTTAACCAAATTGTCGGTTGAGTAAGTTTTTTTACCAAATTATCGCTAAAGGCTTTTTTTTTTTCTTTTCTTTTCTTTTCTTTTACCAAATCAGCGTTTCCAGTGGTCGAACATGTTGAAAACAATGGCAATGATAACTAGAAGAGCCTCAACAAATTTCTTTGCCTTCATTATGTTTATTTGCTACTATAGTAAGTCTTTTATTTTGTGTATAGTACTACTCCATTGGTTTTCTATTTATAGCCTTCAATTTCAATGTCTTTCGTTCCTAACATAATAATTGAGGGTTTTAATAATGTAATCATTTCAATGCATCTTCTTTAGCCTAAACATGGACATGAGTTGGCATTATTGTCGTGAGATGCCGTTATTCGAACTTGGTGTTCTTATTATTATTATTATTATTATTATTATTATTATTATTATTATTATTATTATTATTATTATTATTATTATTATTATTATTATTATTATTATTATTATTATTATTATTATTATTAACTTTGTTATGGAAGTCAAATTTATCAATCTATATCACTTTGGGCCTTAATAATCAATGAAATGTAAGGAAAAGTCAAATTTATCAATCTATCACTTTGGGCCTTAATAATCAATGAAGTGTAAGGAAATTATCACTTAAATTATGAATTTAGGAGCCTGATGCATGCATGTACATTATATGCTCTTGATTAATGTTCTTTCCATTATTTTTATAAGTTCTTTTTATCATACTTTCATTTCCTATTGTTAAATACTTTGTATTTTCGTTTATCATATTCCGTTCTATAGATTATTCATAATTTCTTATGAATGATGATGATGTACTAGTATGCACTTTAATCTAATTTTATGTTAACATGGATTCCCCAGCTTTCTCAGCCTAAATATTTACGTATGTCCTCTTTTTAATTTAGGAAAAATACATTTTAATAATCCCAACTTTGCTTGATTTACTTTAAATAATTCCAACTTTTGATTATTCTGCAATAATCCCAACTTTTGATTATTCTGCAATAATCCCGACTTGTACTTGCGTTTTCTTTCTTCAATCCCAACAACCGACAACCTGCTGAAAAGGTTTTTTTTTAAAAAAAATTTCCAATATGCCACGTGTTGAGCATTTATTGGTCTTAAAAATGAAAACCAAAAAAAACAAAAAAAATAAAAACAAAAAAAAAAGGAAAAATTGCTTTAAATAATACCACCTTTGGCCCGTCCGCTAAAAACAAGTCCACCTTTTGTTTATCTCTAAATAATACTACCTTCGTAGGTTGTCCGCTTTAAACAAGTTATGACCTGTTGTTGACTTGATTAATAGGTATATGGGACACGTGTCAATGTTTGATTGGGTTAAAAAAATATAATTTATTTTTTTATTTAATATTTTAATGTTTAATAGGTAATAATATTAATTATTATTATTATTATTATTATTATTATTATTATTATTATTATTATTTTTGTAAAAATAAAAAATAACCCCCTCCCTCTCCCCCACCAGCCACCCTTTCTCCTTGCGCCGGAAAAGCCTATCACCCCCTCCCCTCGCATCCATAGCCACCCCACCCTCATCAAAACTTAAAATTAAAAAAAAAAAAAAATCAAACCCCTTTTGCCCAGCTCCCCTTTCACCGGGAACCACCACCACGATTTCAGGCCCCCTCCCTTCCCCGTTCTCGATTTCAGCGCCCACCCCTCCTCCTCCCCGTAGCAGATTCGATCACCCCTCCCTTCATCGTCCCCACTTTCGAGCCTTTCCCCTTTACACAACCATCATTTACGACTAGTTAGGGTTTCGAGGAAGGGGATAGGTGGTAGGGGGCCGAAAATGGGGAAGGGAAGAGGAAGGGAGCCGAAAATAGAGAATGAAAACTGAAGGAGGGCCAGAAATGAGGACGGGAAGGGGAAGGGGGCCCGAAAATGATGACGTAAAAGGGAAGGGGGATCGAAATCGGAGACGGGGTCTAAGATGGGGTGGTTTCAGGTG